ACCAAATGGCAGAAAAGTCACCTGGTCTGTACTGGCAGAATATGCTGGATATCCACCTTCTAGTTTTTAGGGGAAAGTCTGTCACAGGAAAGCATCTCACTGGAGGCACTGGGCTACAAACCTGCCTGTAGGGGTGCTACTAATTGCCATGCACTGAAGAAGCTAAAGCACTGCAGGAGCTGGGTCTACAGGAATCTGATGAGAGAACCCTGGAGCCAGGAAGGAAAACCCCCTCTTCCTTCAATGTCTCTTCAATATCTTCTACAGATAAAGTTTAACAACGTGCCAGCTAGCCAAGGAAAAATATTTAAGGGCCCATCTCAATTTCATAGAACAGGGTGAGTTTGAAACTGAGGAAAAATAAATAAACAAGTGGCACATTCCACAAACACTTAATGGGCCCCTGTATACTTAGTGAGCCAGGGACTGTACTGCATATTGGCCCACATATGTCCTTTTTGTTTCCGTTTATTGAGTGCTATCTGTTGTCATTCCTGTTCTAAGCACTTAAATATACAAACTCATGCAATCTTCACAATAACCCTGAGGTAGATGCTAGGACCACCCCCATATTACAGATAACAGGATTGAGACACAGAGAATTAACTCACCCAAGGTCAGCTAGTAGGTAGCAGAAACAGAATTTAAACCTGGTAGTCTCCACATGTTTAAGTACCATGCTACAAAGCCTCTCAGGATGTCTTTATGGCACAAAATTATCCAAACCCCTTCAAGACTATCCCCTGACCACTCTAGTGTCTGTATCATGTTAAAGCAAAGAAAAATCCCCATCCACTCTCCATGCCCCCAAACATTATCTCAGGGTTCCAAAAAGTATCTTGGAGGACTTTACTTGGGAATAGCAGTTCCACATATCATGGATTATTGAGTCTTTCCTGCCCACTTAGTGACAGCAGTGGCCATCTGTCAGCACCCACCGCACGATCTGGCTACATTAAGGCGTGAGGTCCACGAGAATGGAGGGATGTGTTCTAACCACATTCTGAACATTATGTGTTGCCTTTTTTTTCTTTAGATGGAGTCTTGCTCTGTTGCCCAGGCTGGAGTGCAGTGGTGTGGTCTCTGCTTACTGCAACCTTTGCCTCCCAGGTTCAAGCAATTCTCCTGTCTCGGCCTCCTGAGTAGCTGGGATTACAGGCGCCTGCCACCACATCCAGCTAATTTTTTGTATTTTTAGTAGAGACGGGGTTTCACCATGTTGGCCAGGCTGGTCTCGAACTCCTGACCTCATGATCCACCCACCTCGGCCTCCAAAAATGCTGGGATTACAGGTGTGAGCCACCACACTCAGACTGCCCTTCTTAAATTTCAGTCAGTCTTGAGACACTGCTAGTAGCTAAGTGAATCTGTCATTTTTATCTTTAGTCTGCAAATCCTTTCTGCAATAATTGCATGTGCCTTTCTTTACTGTTTCTATTTTGCTGTGTTCTGTATACAGTACCAATGCTTTTCAAACTGCATTTCTAATTAGCTCCCAGGTGATGCCATTGTTGTGGCTCTGGGTACCACACTTTGAGTAGTGAGATCCTATACAACTAAGCGAGGAAGCGGTTCACCTCTCTATAATAGCAGGATCCTTTCCTTAAAACCCAAAATCTGCCAGGCACGGTGGCTCACACCTGTAATCCCAGCACTTAGGAGACAAAGGTGGGAGGATAGCTTGAGTCTAGGAGTTCGAGATCTGCCTGGGCAATAGAATGAGATACCGTTCAACAACAACAACAAAACCCAGAATCTAATTTTTGTATCACAAATTTGATGTGCAGTGCCAACAGTTCTTGAGCACTGAGAAATCTTTACAGCCGTCTAGTGACCAAAACTGGATCATAGACAGAACCAAAACAGGGACTCACATTCCTGGAAAATCATCCATACACTTAATACTGGGAATAATAATGACAACAATCCAAAGCTAATAGAAATAACACCAGAATAAGGCCAGGTGCAGTGGCTCATGCCTATAATCCTTGCACTTTGGGAGGCTGAGGTGGGAGGATCGCTTGAGGCTAGGAGTTTGAGACCAGCCTGGGCAACATACAACACCCTGTTTCTGCAAAAATTTTTTAAAATTAGCCAGGCGTAGTGGTTGCACCTGTATTCCCAGCTACTTGGGCAGCTAAGGCAGGAGGATCACTTGAGCCTGGGCATTCAAGGCCGCAGTGAGCCATGATTGCACCATCGCACTCCAGCCGGGGCAACAGAGCAAGACCATCTCCCAAAAAAAAAGAAGAAGAAAAGAAAAAAGGAAAGAAAAGAAATAACACCATAATAAGACAAATAGGAATGCTTTTATTCAGATACTAAAAACATCTTTAAAATATTACACATAGTGAACAAATGATTTATTATATTTACTGACCCCTAATTACTTCAATGTGCAGGGATGGTACCTATGAAAAGCACTGTGTAATTGTAGGTAATTTGGGACATAAGACCTTGACCAAAAACTGAAAATACTATTCCTAGAAAAAAAGCAAAAATATTTTATACATTAAAAGCCTTAAAACAAGATAAAAATGAAACACTGATAAGATCAGAGCTTAGTTCAGTCCAAGAAACTTACTTAGCACTAATACCAGACAATGTGCTATGTGGTGGGGGGTTACAAAGATGCCCTGTGGGAGCTTACAGTCAAAAGACAGTCATAGACTCTTAATTTCATACATGGTAAAGACAAAGATATAGGAAAGCACAAGGTACTGTGGGACTTCAGATTCAAATGGGGATATGATAAAATTGGAAAAAAGTAGACAACTGAGAGGTTCAGCAGTCCAGAAGCCAATTAATGAGGTCCTGAACTAAGAGTGGTAACAAGGATGAAGAGGAGACAGATGTGAAAAGCGTTAAGGAAAATACAATCTACAGGAGTCTGACTGGCCATGGGAGTGCAGAAGGAAGATGGAATTACACTTCGATAACAGTACAAAGTGATTAAGTGAGATGAGAAAAGGAAAACAGAAGTAGATTTAAAGTGGCAGGAGAGGATGTCTTCAGTTGGGGTTCTGTTGAGTTTGGGGTGCCTGTGGGATATCCAAGTGCATGTTCAATAGCAGGTGGATATACATCAGAATATTTGGGTAGAGGTAAAAAACCCATTTTGAAGTTACCGACATAGTAAAAATTTTAAACATGAGATGTGGAAAGAAAAGAGCAGTATGTTAGGGATGGAACTTTGAGAATGCTAACTATTGAGGAAAGGGCAAAGGAGGACGCATTCAAGAAGCAGAGAAAGTAATTTCTGGTTTTTTTTTTTTTTTTTAATGAGATGGAGTCTCGCTCTGTCACCCAGGCTGGAGTGCAGTGGCGCAATCTCGACTCACTGCAACCTCCACCTCCCGGGTTCAAGCAATTCGCTGCCTCAGCCTCCTGAGTAGCTGAGATTACAGTCGTCTGCCACCACGCCCGGCTAATTTTTTGTATTTTTAGTAGAGATGGGGTTTCACCATCTTGGCCAGGCTGGTCTTGAGCTTCTGATCTTGTGATCCACCTGCCTCAGCCTCCCAAAGTGCTGGGGTTACAGGCGTGAGCCACCGCGCCTGACCAGTTTCTCATTATTCAGAAAATTAGAAGAGACTGGTAACTAAGAATATGGAAATTTTCAAGGAAGGAATGGGCAAGTGTTAAATGCAGCAGAGATGTCCAATGAGATAATGTTAGAAAAATGTCTGCTCAGCCTGGGCACAAAGTGAGACCCCATCTCTACAAAAAAATAAAGAAAGTTAGCCGGGCATGGTGGTCTGCACCGGTGGTCCCAGCTACATGGGAGGCTGAGGCAAGAGGATCACTTGAGCCCAGGAGGTGAAGACTGCAGTCAGCTGTGTTTGTACCACTGCACTCCAGCACTCCGGCTTGGGTGACAGAGCAAGATCCCATCTGAAGGAAAAAAAGAAAAAAAAAAATCTGCTAATTGTAGGTGCCCTGAGAGTAGGTCTATGACTTACTAATTCTTATATACTCGGTGTCTGTTACAAAGACTGATACAATGTAGGCAGCACTCTATAAATGCTTCTAGAATTTTACTGGCATGACTATCACTTTCATTAGTAAAATAACACACTTATACGATTCAAACAGAAACATGTCAGTACTAGATACTGCAGACATTTTCCCAAGGGAGGTTTTTCTTGACTCAACTCAGCCTAAATTTTTAGTAGGAAAATATTAATAAAGGAAATATAGAAAATACTTTTCCAACAGAAAGAATAAAAAGCAAAGAAAAAGGATTTAAAATCGTAAAAAAGATAGAATAAATGAATACAAACCAAAAGATCAGTGTAGCAATGTCAATAACAGAAAAATACTATTTAAGCAAAAAGCTACAGTAGAAACAGAGGAATCTTACCGAAAGATAAAAAAGTTCACTTCACCAAAAAGCTATCTCTAGGGCCCAGACTCCTGTGAGGCAAGAGAGGTGATCGAGTCGTGAACATGCAGTCAGATTTTGTTTTTATTTAAAATTGCAGCATTTTACTAATCATAGACTTTTTTGCATTAATTTTTATTTTGAAAAATATTGCATCCAAATACTGCTCATCTTCATTAGGGAGCTCTTTTGGCGGTTCCTTAAATCCTGCACCTGAGGCTCCTGCCTCATTCTAATCCTGGCTGTGGACCAGCAGGGTACTTAGGCGTCTGAAAACATAACCCCAAGTGTTATATCAGAAAAGTAGACAGAATTGCAAGAAGAAGAAGAAGATAAAAATAAAAATAAAAAAAAGCTGGCACAATCCCAGTAACAGTTTAACATACCCGCATCAAAAACTGATCAAAAAAATACTAGTAAGGGTTAAGGAAATGCGTGCACAATACAACTAGATTTCTCCTGCAGCTCTGTGAAGGGCAGCCCGCGGTAGGCCAGGTCTGGTCCTGGGCGCCCCAGCCGGCTCCCCTGGGTCCAGGCGTGCGCTTGCGGGAGACGTGGGCGTCTCCGCGTCCGGCCGTCAAGCAATGCCTGGGACTCCACCCTACCCTTCGCGTAGTACTTGTTATACTTCGGCAGCTTCTTCACGCCCGGTCCTCTCCCCGCGCCGGTAGGAACCGTCCACCGCCTTAAAGAACCCTGCTCACCAGGTCAGGGGCGCCAACCAGGTTGCGCACGCGCAGAGGCCGGAAGGGCAGCTGGACGTCGCCCAGGTAGACGACGTCCCGCGCCACCAGTTTCTTGTTGCTGTCACTCTGCACTTCCCACTGTCTTCCTTGGTCTCGGCTTCCGCTACCGCCCGCGGTTTTCCACTTCAGTCTCTCCTGGTCCGCAGCAGCCACGACTACAGATACCAGTAGCGCGACAGCCGCAAAGCGCCATAACGTCGTGCTTTTCTTTTTTTTTTTTTTTTTCTCATGCTTTGTTTCTTCTGATTTTCCTTTTCCGGGTGTTTAGTTGAACACACGTTTTTTCCGTATATGTGTTTTAAATAAATGCATTTAGGGCTAAATTTAACTGTATCCCACCCATTATAATAAATAGTACTTTCACTATTTTCCAGAATAAGATTTTGTGGTTTCCTCTTTAACCCATGAGTTGAATGCTTTGTTTCTCAGCAACTTACACTTGTAAGTTTATAAATATATATTATTATTTATATCCAAACGTATTTATTATTAGAGACAAGGTCTCTGTCGCCCAGGCTGCAATGCAATTGTCAGAGGCGAGTGAACCAGAGCAACTCCATCTTAAAATAGGAGCTAGGTAAAATGAGGCTGAAACCTACTAAGCTGCCTTCCCATCTAAGTCACAGGATGAGATAGGTCAGCAAAAAATACAGGTCATAAAAGATCTTGCTAATAAAACAGGTTGCAGTGAAGAAGTCAGCTAAATCCTACCAAAACCAAAATGGCCCCAAGAGTAACTTCTGGTCGCTCTCACTACTACACTCCCATCAGCGCCATGACAGTTTACAAATGCCATGGCAACGTCAGGAGGTTACCCTATGGTCTAAAAAGGGGAGACATGGGCCGGGCAAGGTGGCTCACGCCTGTAATCTTAGCACTTTGGGAGGCCGAGGCGGGCGGATCACGAGGTCAGGAGATGCGACCATCCTGGCTAACACAAACCCCATCTCTACTAAAAATACAAAAAAAAATTAGCCAGGTCTGCTGGTGGGGGCCTGTAGCCCAGCTACTGGGGAGGCTGAGCCAGGAGAATGGGGTGAACCCGGGAGGCAGAGCTTGCAGTGAGCAGAGATCGCTCCACTGTACTCCAGCCTGGGCCACAGAGGAGACTCCCTCTCAAAAGAAAAAGGGGGGGGAGGGGGAGGGCGTGAATAGTCCACTCCTTGTTTAGCATATCATCAAGAAATAACCATACAAATGAGCAACCAGTCGCCCTCAGGGCTGCTCTTTGAAGTAGCCATTCTTTTATTCCTTTGCTTTCTTAATAAACTTGCTTTCACTTTGCACTGCAGAGTTGCCCTAAATTCTTTCTTGCATGAAATCCAATAACCCTCTCTTTGGGTCTGGATGGGGACCCCTTTCCTATAACGCAGTGGCGGATCAAAGCCTCCAACTCCTGGGCTCAAGCGATCCCCCTGCCTTAGCCTCCCAGTAGGTGGGCCACAACGCCTGGCTCATCTTTTAAATTTTTTGTAGAGACAGGGTCTCACTATGTTGCCCAGGCTGGTCCTGAACTCCTGGCCTCAAGCAATCCTCCCACCTCAGTTTCCCAAAGTAGTGGGATTATAGGTATGAGCCACCACACCTGGCTCAAACTTTTAAACTGTACTTTGCACAGGAAACTTCTCTTCAAACACTAAGAATTTAAAAAAAGAGTCATGACTGCAAATACAGTAAGATAAACCTATGAAATTCTGTGAGAATAAAGTAGAAATTGTGGATAAAATGAACAATTTCTTGGAAAAATAATAAATATATAAATATATATGTAAATATATATATATATTTATTTACACACACACACACAAGTTAGCCAATAACAAATCCAACTTAAACTTTATCTTTCCTCAGACACCAGGCCTAGATAGTTTTTGAAGTTTTACCAAAAATTGGAGGAACCGAAAATCTTTATCTTATACAAACTCTTTCAAAGGATGGAAGAACAGAGAAGAATACCCAATGCATTGTTGAGATTAACATACCCCTTAATACCCAAAACATGGAAGGATGGTAACAGGGTGTAAAAGTGTAGATGAATTTATGAACAGAGGTGCAAAAATATTAATAAATAGCAAATCTTATACAAGATATAAAAATTAATATGTTATGAATAAGTATGGTTTATCCCAGGAAGACAAGGAAGAAAATAGATTGATCCACCACAGCAATTTAAAATTATGTGTTGAACGTCCAATGGGCTAGGCACTGTTCTAGGCATTTAGCAAAGTAACAGATTTTAAAAGAGAAAAAGCCTTTATTTCCTACACAGGAATCGAGAAAGAAAGAGATAAAAATGACGATTTACCTATAAAACTGGAGTATCTATTCCAAACTATTACAAATAAAAAAATTCAGCAAGGTTGCTGGATACAAGAGCAACATTAAATAATCAATAGAATTCTTATACATAAAAATTAACTAATTAGAAAAAAAGTATTTTTAAAAAGCTCATTCACAATACAACAAAATTTAAAAGGTACCTAAATATAGATCTAACATATACAACATTATCTTATCATTTTTTTCTTTTTTTTTGTTTTTTACAATTTTCAGTTATAATTTACTGTCTGTTATGGGAAAAATTACATGTTTCAGTAGACAGTTCGTCAAACTTTTCTTTTTTTAACTTATGTCTTCTAAAATACTATCTCAGTTTGTTTTCTCTCTATTCCCACCAGTTAAGGTTTTCACTGACCTCTGTGTTCTAAGACTTTTTTTTTTTTTTAATTATACTTTAAGTTCTAGGGTACAATATGCACAACGTGCAGGTTTGTTACATATGTGTACATGTGCCATGTTGGTGTGCTGCACCCATTAACTCGTCATTTACATTAGGTATATCTCCTAATGCTATCCCTCCCCCCACCCTCCCCACAATAGGACCCGGTGTGTGACGATCCCCTTCCTGTGTCCAAGTGTTCTCATTGTTCAATTCCCACCTATGAGTGAGAACATGCGGTATTTGGTTTTCTGTTCTTGCAATAGTTTGCTGAGAATGATGGTTTCCAGCTGTATCCATGTCCCTACAAAGGACATGAACTCATCCTTTTTTATGGCTGCATAGTATTCCATGGTGTATATGTGCCACATTTTCTTAATCCAGTCTGTCATGGACATTTGGGTTGATTCCAAGTCTTTGCTATTGTGAACAGTGCCACAATAAACATACGTGTGCATGTGTCCTTATAGCAGCATGACTTACTTATCGTTTTTTTCGTAAAGATCTTGGAGGACCAGGAAAATCTGAATAGCTAGGGAGATAATTCCATATTTATGAATGGGAAGACAATATTTTTCAGATCTTAGTTGTAATAAAATAAATAAATAAATAAAGTGTAACCAAAAGGTCTAAAAAGTGCCAGAATGCATATATTCAAATTCCAGCCCCACCATTTATTTCTTGGTCCTTCGATCTCGGGGAAGTTATGTAGTTTTTCTCTATATTATTACCCATTTATAAAATGGTGATTAATATACTTCCTTCTATATATAGTTGCTGTGTAGATTATATAAATTAATTCACACATGGCAGTTACACTAGTGCCTGGCACAGAGTAAGAACTCAATAAATGTCTGTTATCATTAGGACGTTTGTTGTAGCCTTGCTTGTTATAGTAAAGTACTGGAAACAGTTACTTAAAAATAAGACTAAAGGCAAATATGGAAAAGATTTAACATTAATAACATTTGGGTGATGAGTATATAGGTGTTTTTATTATTCTTGGTAGTTCCTCTGTGTTGAAATATTTCACGAGGAAAGGAGAATAGTAATAAAGTCATCATTTATTTATTCATATCTACATTTCCACAGAAGTATTAGTTTAGGTGAATTATCATATCTTGATTTTTAAAGTTTCCATAGAAAGAGGTTACTGAACTTATGTTATTGGTATAAAATATAAAGCTGTCTGGTCTCAAAATGCTTTTCATGTCATCCTCCTACAACTTACATTCATAAATTCTATATTCCAATCAAATTGGCATGAATCTGCCTTTTTCCACATTTGTATCTTTACGCCCACTGTCTCCTCTATATTTACTGCCCTATTCATATTCTATCCATTTTCAAGTTTTCAGCTCAAATGCCACCACCTTGATAAAGATGAACCTAAGTCTCTATGTTATAATTTATTGCTTCTGCCTTTTAGTGTTCCAGGTATCATTCTGTTTATCACATAGCCCTTGTCACATTTTCTCTTTTGTTAGAAATATTTTCCCCCTACTTTCTTTCACACACACTCTACAGAAGCACACCCGTATTTTTAATGGAGCAAAAGTTGATACAATCTCAAAAGTGCCAGAGCAAACTGATTCAAATATGATTTAAATACTGATTTCAATTCACTGCACAGACACATAGATGCTGCCCATGGAACTCCTATACTCTGGGCTTCACTGGCTGGTGAGTAGAAATTGTGATGTTCCGGGTCCCCACTTTCTTGCCTGGCAGTAATTACAAAGTTGCTGCAGGATTTCTCAATCCAAATATTCTTGACAATTCTCAAATAGTGGGTTGCGGAGAGGGGTACTTTCCCTCTAAGAGTCTGGGGGAAGTTGGTCTGATACTGTAGGAGGGATGATCCCTTGCATAATCAGAAACCTTACTCCCAGTTTTGTGGTTCCTCTGTTGGGCAGCTGCTCTGGATCCATTTGAAACCCACTGGTGGTTGCCCACTTCCTCCAGAGAGCTAACCTCAGTGCCTGCTTCTGAGGCCAGCTGGGAAACGCATCTGCTGATCTCACAAATCACTTTTCAGAGAAATTCCCTGGTGGATCTGCTGGACTTTGTCCTTCCCAAAGCAAAGGGAGCACCTCTAGGAGGGGTTAGAGAGGCAGTTGGGGGTGGATCAGGCAAAGTCTTGCAGCATACCTCTGATCCTTGCTCTTCATACCTCGACTCCGTTGCTTTATCAAGCCCACTCTGCAAGACTTCTCTTATTTTCAGTAGTAGTCACATATTTCTCTTCAGGGGAACCCCTTCTCCATCATACAGGTTTGTGTTTGTGTGAACTCCAATTCTGGAACATAAACTGATTATTTTCCATTATATTCCTGACCAAGGTGGTTTTTGCAGACAGGTTTTGGCCTCCCTGATCTCTTATCAGCTTGCCTCCCCAACAACCTCTCCAACAACCATTGTTCAGTATCATCTGAACAAAACTATGTAAATGCTGAAGAAATGTCACATAATCATCTTTTTCAGCCTGACACACCACAATCTCTCCTGTATGGAAATTCTAGAGTCATAATTGAAATAAACGGAAATAGCTGATGGCTTTTTAAAAATGGAAATATTCTGACAGGAGGCTACAGGAGGGAACCTCTAGGGGACGATGTTACCTAACAGAATTTTACAGTTGCCCTGTTCGGAACTACCCAGTTTACGTTCTCCATTGCCTAACTTCCCGTGTTCTCTCCAAGGTTGTTTCCTGGCCTGTTATATTTTCTGCTTCCTCTGGAGGGCACTAGTTGCACCTACTAACATGTAATAAATGTTGGCCTGCTTCTTGCCTTTTATAGTTAATCTGACTTAGATCAAGTGATCTCCAGCTGAGCCCATCCTACGTTTATATTAATATTTGAGAAATGCAATCCATTTTACTAAGTATATATATAGGTCCCTGGTACTCTTCGGGCTTAAGACTGTTTGAATTCATATCAGCACTCAGATAACTCAAATTCCTAAACACACAGATTTTCTTGTGATTCTTAATTGCTACCATGCTTCTGAAAGTACGTTTCCTATTAGAGTTGCTTGGGTCACAACTAATCTTTGAGGCTAGTAACTCTTCATCTTTCTACCTTCAGGGTCTAGCATAGTGATTCGCATATAGTGAGATGGGTGAATGAATGAATGGGTGGATACGTGGATAAACCCAATACCTTGTTCAGGATATTAAGAGTTTGACTTAGGCAGCACAGCATAGCTAAAGAAAGAAGCAATTAGTTTTAGGAAATAAATGCATTAATAAATGTAGGAACAACTGAATAAAATTCTCCATTTTAAAGCATAAAATTCAGTGGTCTTCAATATATTCACAGAACTGTGCAATTACCAATATCTCATTCCAGCACATTTTCATCGCTCCAAAAAGAGATCTTGTACCTGTTCGCAATCACTCCCTGTCCCCTCCTTTCATTCGTCCCTCTCCATCCCTTAGCCCCCCAGCCCCTGGCAACCACTAATCTACTTTCTGTCTTTATGGATTTGCCCATTCTGGATCTTTCATATAAAGGGAATCATACAGTATGGCCTTTTAAATCTGTTTTTTTTTAATGTGTAATCCCATAACACTTTTAACATAACTCTTTAACACTTATTTTACTGTGTTGGGATTATTTGTTTATGGCCTGCCTCCCACTGCACTACTAAGCATCACAAGGACAGATTATGCCTTGTTTATTTCAACTTTGAATGTAGAGCTCAGGGCCTGTCACAGAATGGGCAATCAATAAATGTTTGCTGAACAATTGATGCTTTTCCAGCTCCAAAATGCATGAAACACTGTGCAGACCTAACTCCTTTCATCTTTGATCAGTTTGCAGTACCACCAGAATCCTTGTCTGTAACTCTTTTCATCTCTTTCACTTGTTTTATGTCTTTGCCTAAATTTACATTTTCTCTTTCACAAATATAGCTTAAATTCCAGAAAGTGGGGACATGTCCTGCCCCAAGTCTGTATTCACAAAGTCGTGTTTGCCCCTTGTTTGTGTGGATTAACATTCTGTTTCTCTGAAATCTTTAAAATGAGAACCATGCCAGTGTTCTATAAACTGTAAGATTTAACATTTTCTTTCTTTTCTTCTTTTAGCCATACTTCCCATTGCCTCCAGCTGTTGCACAGAGGTTTCACATCACATTTCCAGAAGGCTTCTGGAAAGAGTGAATATGTGTCGCATCCAGAGAGCTGATGGGGATTGTGACTTGGCTGCTGTCATGTGAGTGCTCTTCAGCCAGGAGGTCTAAACCTGCACAATGATTATTTCCCTGACCATTGAATAATAGGTTGGAAAGGCTTTGCTTGATTACAACATACAAACCGTCATCCAAACAAGGGAGGGAAGAGTAAATATTCTGTCTGTTAGGCCCCAGGCTCCCTGGAGTAAATTCATAGTCTCTCTGTCCAAAGATGTCCTGAGCCCCATACCAGTGCACCATCTACTTCCACCCCGTAGTGCTGTGGTTAGCACTAAATTCCCCCAGTCACCAAAAAGTGTTCATGACTTTCCTAAGCAAAACAAAACCCCAAATAAAAGATGACTCTGTTATATTTCATGGCTTTTAACCTTTTCCAGTATATGGGTTGCTGTCATTTCTACTTTCTGAATTCATCAGGAGCATATTATAAGGTTCAAAAAGGTAGGCCGTGTGTGGTGGCTTATGCCTGTTATCCTAGCACTTTGGGAGGCCAAGACAGGGGTATCGCTTGAGACCAGGTGTTCAAGACCAGCCTGGGCAACATGGCGAGACCTCATCTCTACAAAAAACTTTAAAACTAGCCAGGTGTGGTGGCATGCACCTGTAGTCCCAGCTACTTGGGAGGCTAAGATGGGAGGATCATTGAGCCCAGTTTGAGGCTGCAGTGAGCCGTGATCATGGCGCTGCACCCCAACCTGGGTGACAGAGTTAAATCCTGTCTCAAAAAACACCACCACCACAACAACAAAAAGGCAAAAACAGAAGAAAAGGTTCTAAAAGAAGTTTGTAAATATCTATACCTGTCACAGTGCTATATGCAATCCAATCACAAATGCCAATCCAATCTCTGCTTTTGATTCTGTGATGTTGGCTCATGATGAAACTTCCCAGCCCTGCCCCTGGCTCACTTATTAAAAGCTTTGTTTGTACATGTACTTAACATCTCTATGGAGGCTCCAACATCTGAACTGCATTGGTATTTAGTAAATCTGGATTCTGACAACAATGCTGTGAGGAAAGCATAAATGATCTCCCGATCACACACAGGAGAAAGCTGTGACTCAGGTTACACGGTTCACTTGTGTACAGCTCGTGAATTGCAGAAATGGGATGTGAACACAGGTCTCTTAGTTCAGAACACTATATACCTCCAATGTCATTCTAAAGCAGTGGTGGGACTAACCATAAAATGCCCTCTCCAAACTCTACTGCATCTGAGTATCAGGCATCTCCCTGGCATGCAGGTTTAAACACCACTTGTGGCTCCAGGTGATGCCAGTGAGTCATTTGGTGCTCCTTTCTTTGGGCTATAAATAAACCCGTTGCTTATGCCTGAGTTCCCGAGTCACTCAGAAACCTTATTCTTTCAGTGAATTCAACAAATATTAATGAATTAATGATTATGCGCCAAGCACTATTCTATATGCTGGGGATGCAGTGGTGACAAAATGGGTTCTGTCTGCCTAGAGTCTCCAGGGGACTCTTTATCCAGCTGGGTTCTGCAGATCATCTTAATGATTTAAGATGATCCCTGGAACTTGAAATATATTTTACCCCCTTTCAGAGGGATTTATCTATTATTCAATTTTGAGGAAAAACTGCTCCAAGATAAGGGTTCTTAAAAGTTCAGAGGAAGAGTTTGTAAGATGTCTGTTGATAGACTTTCAACAGGTTAGGGGCTGTGAACTTCCTGAAATTTTTGTGTATGAACCTGTGAGCATTTGTAGAAGGTCCATAGGTTTTATAAGATTCTCAACGGTTCTGAGATCGAATAAAGTTTAAAGATCACACTCAGGGTCAGATGTAGGGGAGGAAACAATTCTTGATCCAAACTTGCATTAAGCATGAGTGTCTTTGTGGGAGAACGGAGAAGACTGATAATTTCCTCAGCATCTCAGTTCAAGCCACCACCTGGCTCCATTGGCTCAGGTGGTTTAGTCATTGGGAACCAGCATCACCTGTGGTACTCCAGGGACTACATACCAGTGAGGATTCTGAGGGGTGCTCCAAGTTCCCAACTTCTTTGAAAAACTCCTTGGTATATGTCTGGCCGAGATTCTACCAGTCTTTTATTTAATCTTAAAGAATACTGTTGATAATAGTTGGAGCGTAAAACGTTCATAGACAATGCATGGATAGACAATGCTTTAGGTGGTTAGAAACAGCTGGATATTTGTGTCGAGTGGACACAGCTGCACTAAATCTGTCTGAACCTGCTCCAGTTGCTCTGAGAAATTCCAAATTTTCAGCTCCTCTCAATTCCTTCCACCTCATTGGCATATATCACCTCAGACTTGAAGCTTGAAACTTGTAAGGGCTCCAATAGGACTCCCAGAAAGACTTGGAGAAAAAAAAACAGAGCAAGTTTCTGTGGGTGTATAAGACAGATTCTGGAGGTTATCCAGGGAAGCTATTGGTAACAGGATTTTCAGGGATGTTTCTTTGGGATAAGCAGGTGTCAGAGATCTGAAAGGCATAGGAACGGAAATGATGTTTTGCTGTGATAAGGCAAAATATAATCAGAAACATAAGTCTTCATTTTAAAAAAGACTCAATTTTAACTAAAGAGGTTCTAGGAAGCCAATCACCTGGATCCAAAAATATTTACTTTATTCAAGCATAATTTGTAAATTGACCTCTGTGCTAAGAAAGCTGAAAAATACAGAGTTACTATGACCTAATCTCAAATAAAATTAAACTCTATAGTATTTTTTAACCATAAGTTACAGATCCTCTCTGTTCTGTTTCCTGATGTTCAACATAAATAGATAAAGATTCTCTTGTTTTCAGATTAGTTTAGTATGGAGCATGTCTTTACTTATCTAAAATATAGTCCCTTAACCCTGACTGGGTATAAAGACTTTAAGATTTGAGAAAGTGTTTAAGATGCAGAAAGCATTGCTAACACTAGAAATATAATTCCCAAGTAGCATGTATTACTAATAACAATTAATTAATATAAATCAATGTACAGTAAACTTATTAGGCTTTTTTTCTTTTCTGCCTAGAAATAGGTCCTTTGTTTTATACCTTATAAATGGTCATTGTAGTTTTTGATGCCTGAGACAGCAGTTTTCTTGTTCAAACTCCTCTACAGTGACTTCATTAATGAGCTTCTGGATGTTTCTGAACATAAATACAGTAAAAAGTTGTTTTTCATGGCCAGGTGCGGTGGCTTACACCTGTAATCCCAGCACTTTGGGAGGCTGAGGCGGGCGGATCACGAGGTCAGGACATTGAGACCATCCTGGCTAACATGGTGAAACCCCATCTCTACTAAAAATACAAAAAAATTAGCTGGGTGTGATGGCAGGCACCTGTAGTCCCAGCTACTTGGGAGGCTGAGGCAGGAGAATGGCGTGAACCCGGGAGGCGGAGCTTGCAGTGAGCTGAGATCGCGCCACTGCACTCCAGCCTGGCTGATAGAGTAAGACTCCGTCTCAAAAAAAAAAGTTGTTTATGTTGGGCAGAGGTCAGAGGATTCTTAATCAAACAGACATTTTTTGTTGTGAGAAAATGTGAAGTTTTTAAATAGAATTATCTGGAAGGCTTGAGTAGTTTTTCAGATGTGGTTGTGAGACATTGTTGTGTTTCGAGGAATGGGTAAAGAAATAAAGTTTAGGGGACATTAAAGGTATAATCTCTATGGCAGGGCCACCCCTTTACGTCCATCAGACTATCTCCAGCTATCCTCCTGTGGGTTAAGAAAAAAAAAAATCAGGGATTGGCCTCATGATTTCTAATAGTCAAAACTCTCCACCTACAAACTCACCATTGGGAAGGTGGGGATTGGTGCCCATCAGAATACTATGGAATTGTGAGTAGGGGAAGGAATGTGGAATAGGCCAGCCCCCTTTCCAACATTACTTCATCTCTTTCTATCCTGGTGGAAAATACATGGGATCCAAGTAGAGATTTAAGAAGTTTTTAAACTTTAGGATTCTAAAACATCATAGGATCTCAGATTTGGGAGCTGTGTTCTGGTAGCTGATTTTTTTTCCTGGTTGAATTACATTGGGAGCTTGTGTCACCAGCAATCTTTGAAAAAGCCCACATGCTAGTTGTTGCGTATTTTCCTATGGTCCTCCACCTCTGTGAATCCTCTGTCTATATCTCTTCAATCTGGTTCTCTCCTTCAGCCCCAGTGCCAATGCCCCTCCCTGAGTACTATCTCTCTTATTTTCATAATGGACTTGAATCCTAGCTCTTTCCTGTGTAACTTGTGGGCTTATCTGCATGTCACTGAAATCTTTTTTTTTTTTTTTGAGACAGAGTTTCCCTCTTGTTGCCCAGGCTGGAGTGCAGTGGCACGATCTCGGCTCACTGCAACCTCCATCTCCCAGGTTCAAACAATTCTCCTACCTCAGCCTCCCAAGTAGCTGGGATTACAGGTGCATGCCACCATGCCCAGCTAATTTTTGTATTTTTAGTAGAGACAGGGTTTCACTATGTTGGCCAGGCTGGTCTCGATCACCCGACCTCAGGTGATCTGCCTGCCTCGGCCTCCCAAAGTGTTGGGATTATAGGTGTGAGCTACTGTGCCCGGCCTGCATGTCACTGAAATCTTTATCTGCTCAGTTTCTTGCTGACATCACAGGGAGAAGCAAGAGTTTTAGTCCTTTGGAAAGGGTAGGAGCTTCAATGCCAGTTTTTTTTTGTTTGTTTGTTTGTTTTTGTTTCCTACGCAGCAGTGGTACAGCCATGTTTTCTCCTATGATAGCAAACCAACTGACCATAGTGAGAAATAGGTGGTGCCTTTTTTTTTTTTTTTTTTGAAGACTCTGTATCTAATACACATAGCGAATATATTGTTCTCTTATTAAGATGCTCTACTTCTTTCAAATTAATATTCCCCACATGGTGGCTTTATTATGTTAAAGCTCATTGTTACTTTCCCCCCATTCTCCCCACTTTTCTCCCATTTCAGGAGTCCCTACATTAGCTGATAATGATTCAACTTAGGTCATCTAGAAAAACAGCAGCCTACTCTCTACTCCACCTCTGTTTTTTCCCTGAATAACAGGGTCAGGAGTTTCAATTTATCTGGACATAGAAATACTGTATATGTAGAGCCAGCAGGATTTGTGACATTTGGTAAGAGCTGATGACCCCTCGTGGGGAAATTAGAAGTCACCAATATCTTTTTCAACAAAAAATTCTTCTAGTTACCAGAAACTGTGCGTGCTGCCCTAGCATTCTCTCAACCCACTGTGAGAACTTCATATAGAAAAATGAAAATGAACCAGGCATGGTGGTCATGCCTGTAATTCCAGCACTTTGGGGGCTGAGGTGAGTGGATCACCTGAGTTCAGGAGTTCAAGACCAGCCTGGCCAACATGGTAAAACCCCGTCTCTACTAATAATACAAAAATTATCTGGGTGTGGTGGTGCACACCTGTAATCCCAGCTACTTGGGAGGCTGGGGCAGAAGAATCACTTGAACCTGGGAGGCAGAAGTTGCAGTGAGCCGAGATCACACCATTGCACTCCAGCCTGGGTGACAAGAGCGAAACTCCATCTAACCAAAAAAAAAAAAGAAAAATGAAAATGAAAGCACATTCTGAACTGTGTCATAGATCTACATCATATTAAAATGTTAACAAATGCCTAGAATATCTTAGTTTTGTTTTGTTAATTTAAGTTTTAAATTGTTTAAGTTTTAAATTAAAGTTTTGAATAAGGCCTTTTCAAGAAACTTCTAGACTATTCCTCCTTCAAGGAACGTATCTCCAGTAGGAGAGATGAGATGAGTATTCAGATAAAAGACAGCATAAACTAAGTGCCAGAAAAGAGGTAAGTAACTCTCATTGTGGAGAATCAGAGGGGAAAAAGGACAGCATCTAACTGAGAGAATCTACAAATCCTTATGGATCAGAAAAACCTCAAACAAACCTTAAGGATGTGTTTGAGATGGGCTGTGAGGATGAATTGGTTTTGTTGGGTGAAGCTTGAAGTCAAGGAAGATAATTGTTTTCACTTGGTTTTTATTATCTCTTTTCCTCCTTTCTTCTTCCTCTTTTTTCTCATTCCTTTTCTCCTCCTGCTCCTCATCCAATTCCTTCTTCTCCTCCTCTTTCTTTTAATACTCTCTGCTGATATCTGAGGCCCCACAGGCAGCAGTGCTTGTGAAGTCAAAATTGAACCTTGTGGTGCTCAACTTTAGAATTCACTTCATTTCTACACTGAATTCAGAAATTTAGTCTGAATTTAGTCTCTAGGAATACAGTGTCCCAAAGTGGGAGCTGCAGGTAAGTCACTTAGTGGTTATTTATATATATTTTCTATCAGTGACTTTCTTTTGCTTCCCTTTCTAACAGCCTTCATGTCAAGCGCAGAAGAATCTGTGTTAGCCCGCACAACCATACTGTTAAGCAGTGGATGAAAGTGCAAGCAGCCAAGAAAAATGGTAAAGGAAACGTTTGCCACAGGAAGAAACACCACAGCAAGAGGAACAGTAACAGGGCACATCAGGGGAAACACGAAACGTATGGCCATAAAACTCCTTATCAGAGAGTGTACAAATGAATCTACAGAGACAATTCCTCAAGTGGACTTGGCCATGATTGGTTGTAAGTTTATCATCTGAATTCTCCTTATTGTAGACAACAGAACAAAACAAAATATTGGTTTTTAAAAAATGAACAATTGTGTGGTATGCAAATGTAGCCAATAATATACACAACTGGAAGATGAAATGAAAAGATAATGCTGGCTGGGTACGGTGGTTCACAGCTGTAATCCCAGCACTTCAGGATGCTGAGGCAGGAGGATCACTTGAGTCCCGGAGTTTGAGACCAGCCTGGGCAACATAGCAAGACCTCATTTCTACAAACAAAAAAACATAGGCATGGTAGTACTTGCCTATGATCCCAGCCACATGGGAGGCTGAGGTGGGAGGATCACCTGAGTCTGGGAGAGTTTGAGGTTGCAGTGAGCAGCGTGGGTGACAGAATGAGACCCTGTCTCTAAACATAATAATAATAATAGTGCTTATCTTCATATAATATTTTAAGAGGAGCATATAGATATAACTTCTCCCACCTTTTTAATTATAGTTTTCCAAACTTACAGAGAAGTTAAAAGAATGGTACAATGAACATCTATATATCTTTCACCTAGATTAATAGTTGTTAATATAGTGTCACATTTGCTTTCTCTCTCCTCTCTTTGTATGTGTTTCTATATAAAATATTATAACTTTTAAAATATACCTTGTTTGCTGAACCATTTGAAAATAAGTTGCAAACATCATGGCACTTCACCCCAGTTTCTTTTTGGTGTTATAACTTGACATACTCTAAAATAAAGACATTTTTCTACCTAATCACATTGTCAGTTTTATACCTAAAAAATTAACAATTTCATCTCATATATTCCATATTCAAATTTTCTCAACTATTTAGATAGCATTTTATGTAGTTTTTTTTCAATCCAGTAAACAATCAAGGTTGACATACATACTGCAAATAATTGTTATTTTTCTTTAATGTCTTTCAATCTAATAAAGTTCCTCTGCCTTTTTTTTCAATTTTTAATATTATTTTGTTGAGGGAGGGTCTTGCTGTGTCTTCCAGGCTGGAGTGCAGTGGCACAATTTTGATTTTGGCTCACTGAAGCCTCAACATCTGGGGCTCAAGCAATCCTCCCACCTCAGCCTCCCGAGTGTCTGGAACTAGGTGCATACCCACCACACCTGGCTAATTTTGTTTATTTTTTGTAGAGACAGGGTCTCACTGTGTTGCCCAGGTTGGTCTCAACCTTCTGGGCTCAAGCGATCCTCCCACCTTAGCCTCCCAAAGTACTGGGATTATAGGTGTGAGCCACAGTGCCTGGCCTAATTATTTTCTTATAATCAAATTCAGGTTTAATGTTTTTGGTAAGAATTTCCTATGTGAATTTGTATACTTATTTTGTCAGTTAGAGTTCATAAATATTAGAGGTTTTTTCTAAATAGAAAAGTGTAAACTAAATATAACTTCAAAACATCTAGTTTGAGTAGCTACCATTGTTTGAATTGTAATTTTCTCATACTGAAAAGAACAAAAAGCCTGCCTTGCTGTCCAGAATATTTTGCCTCCCGCAGTCAGTTCTTGGAGCACCACTAGTTAGGGGCCCAGAGTTTGGTCCTCTGTGTGGTGATTTTACACTCTGCCTAAACAAGGAGTCTGCATCTTTTAGCTCCTCTCCCACCCTTCTTACACGTTTTTGTTGTGTTTGGTTTTTTTTTGTTGTTTTTTTTTTTGAGACGCAATCTCACTCTGTTGCCCAGGCTGGAGTGCGGTGGCACAATCTCAGCTCATTGCAACCTCCACCTCCCAGGTTCAAGCGATTCTCTTGCCTCAGCCTCCCAAGTAGCTGGTATTACAGGAGCCCAGCCACCACACCCCGCTGATTTATGTATTTTTAGTAGAGACGGGGTTTCCCCATGTTGGCCGGGCTGGTCTCAAACTCCTGACCTCAAGTGATCCACCCAACTCTGCCTGCCAAAGTGCTGGAATTACAGGCATGAGCCACTGCACCCGGCTCACACGTTTGAGTCGATACCATTGTGCCATTCCTCTTTTGGCCTCTTTTTTGTCCATAGAGGCTTTGAGATAGGAAGAGCCCAGTGTTCACAAAAAGCCAATAGAAAGCAGGAGCCACTTTTTCAGGTGGCAGGTGTCCTGGGTCTCCCTGCTGGCTAGTCCCAGGCAGTGGTGTTGCCAGGATGTCTTGAAGGTGATAATGGGACACACAGAGGCACTGAGTCTCCATAGGTTAAAATGCCACCAAAACTGGCCTTTGCCTAATATCCTTCATTGACTATTTAGCATTTAATTTATTTATATTCCTGACATTTCTGCAAGCTTTGTATTTATATTTCCACTTTATGGATGAGGAAACTTGAGGCTCTTAGAGGTAAAATGACTTGCCCAGATCACACAGTAAGTGGCATAGACAAGCCTTTTAAATAAGAAAAAAAATCATAAAATATAATATAAGAGTAACTTAAAATAATAAACCACAATTTTAAATTAACCATAATAACCAACGTTAATAAAAGTTGAGATACCAAAATACTGGTGTCTAATTCTTTCAACTAATAACTTTAATTATTTTCCATTTTGTTTCTTCTAGTTTGATCTACAATGCTACACAGTTGTTGGGTAGCTATGAATGACAGTAGGTTTACATGATATATTTTAAAAACTGATTTCTCTGCAATGCAAATAATTGAAACTTTGTCTGAAGATAGTGTGCCTCGGAAACCAGATTTTTTTTTTTTTTTTTGAGATGGAGTCTCGCTCTGTCACCAGGCTGGAATGCAGTGGTGCATCTCAGCTCACTGCAATCTCTGCCTCCTGGGTTCCAGCAATTCCCTTGCCTCAGCCTCCCAAGTAGCTGGAACTACAGGTGCACACCACCATGTCCGGCTAATGTTTTGTATTTTAGTAGAGACAGAGTTTCACCATGTTGGCCAGGATGGTCTCAGTCTCCTGACCTCGTGATCCACCCACCTCGGCCTCCCAAAGTGCTGGGATAACAGGCGTGAGCCACCACGCCCAGCCAAAACCAGATTCTTAAAGAAATTACATTTTACAGGTTATTGCATGTGCTTAGTAAAACATTATCACTGTTACTGTACTATGCACTATTATTGTACTAAGAGTGAATACTGTTACTATATCATGAGTAAATCACCTGGTTAATCCTTTAAGTTTTCTTTTTGAAAAGTTACATTTTTATTGAAGTCATATAGGTGTGTGATTAAAAAAATCAAAAGTACAGCAGAATTTATAATAAAAATAACATCCTCCCAGCCTATCCTCCCTATTCCTAGGCCTGTCCTTGAGGCAACATCTTGTAATCTTTTTTTCTGAGACAGGGTCTTGCTCTTTTGCCCAGGCTGGAGTGCAGTGGAGCAATCTGGGCTCATTACAATCTTGACCTCTTGAGTTCAAGCAATCCTTTTACCCCAGCCTGCCTAGTAGCTGGGACTACAGGCATGTGCCACCATGTCTGTCTATTTTTTTAAATTATTATTTTCTGTAGAGACAGGGTCTCACTATGTTGCCCAGGCTGGTCTTGAACTCCTGGGCTCAAACGATCCTCCCATCTCACTCTCCCAAAGTGCTAGGATTACAGGCATGAGCCACCTCATCTGGCTTTCTTAATCCTTTTAAAAGTTTAAGTTCTAGTGGTTACTTCTGTGATTTCAAATGAAATGCTTAAAGTATCATTTTTTTGCTTATCTCTTCCCTTCTTTCTCCTCATCCTAGTGCTTGATGTTTCATTGCAATTATTTTTCTTTATCTCTGTAACTTTCAATAATATACTTGTCTTCCATTTATTAGTCTTTTTTAAATACTTTTTTCTTTTCTTTTTTTTTGATACAGAGTCTCACTCTGTCACAAAGGCTGGAGGGCAGTGGCACAATCTCAGTACACTCCAACCTTTGCCTCACAGGTTCAAGGGATTCTCGTGCCTCAGCCTCCCGAGTAGCTGGGATTACAGGTGTGTGTCAGTACAACTGGCTAGTTTTAGTATTTTTTGTTACAGGCAGGGTTTCATCATGTTGGCTGGGCTGGTCTCAAGCTTCTGATCTCAAGTGATCCATCTGCCTTGGTCTCCCAAAGTGCTGGGATTACAGGCATGAGCCACCACGCCTGGCTTATGTATTAGTCTTTATGTAAGATGTACATAATACTCCATACTCCTTTCCTTTTCCTCCCATTGAAACTGTCCCTATAAACTTTATGAAATAAATCAGGGAAGAAAAGAGGGTGAGAAACACGTAAATAATCCAAGCTTGCAGCACATTCAGCATTAACCATTAGGTCAGTTTGCTCGCTGACCCCTTCCTCGTAGTTGTTTGGCTATTGCTTCAGAATTATGTGGAGTCTGTTACAAGATTATAGTTCCCCTTAACTGCTCTATAGGTAACAGCTTGAACATTATGAAATGTTAAGTTTTCCCTTTGAGACATTGTTTCGGGTCCTGCATACTGATGAAACTACTGATGTCAGCTGGTCTGAAGGACCCTACCAGAAGCTAAATCATCAAAGAATGCAATTTCCGTATCCTAATGATTTAATCTCCCTTACCCTGACCAATCAGTGACCCAAATTTTCCAGCCCCTTGCCTTCCATGATCTTCTTAAAAACCCCAGCCCAGAACTCTCCAGAGATTTAGGAATCTTCTCCTACTTCCTGACTCAGCACCATGTAATCATTAAACTCTCTCTGCTGCAAACTCTGCTGTCTCAATGTATCAGTCTGTTACTGCACAGTGGGTATATGAACCTCTTGGTCTTATGACACTATCCTCCTATGTTTCATCTTGTGTCACATCAGCTATACTTTTACATTTACATGACTGATGTTGATAATTCTAACTCTGCACTGTAATAATTGTCTTTCCTGTTTTGCTTAGGGCAGGGTTTCACAATCCTGGCACTACTGACATCTTGGGCTGACAATTCTTTGTTGTGAGGCGTTCTCCCATATACTGTAGATGGGTTAGTAGTATCTCTGGCCTCTGCCCACCAGATGACATCCAAAAATGTCTCAAGATATTGTCACCTGCGGAGGAGTGTAAAAATCTCCTCTAACCCCAGTTGAAAACAACTGGTCTAGAATCTAAGGTAGATTTCAAAATTGAAAACCAATATAGTCAGAAAAATTCTGAGATGACCCCTAAATTTTCTGCCCTGGTATAGACATACCTCCCAAGCACCAATCTAGGTGCTGCAGTGAAGGTATTTTGCAAATGTAACTAAGATCACAAATCAGTTGACCTTAACATAGGGAAATTATCCACATGATAGTGACTTAATCACAGGAGCCCTTTCAATTTTTTGAGAGAGAGTTTCGCTCTTTTTGCCCAGGCTGGAGTGCAATGGCACAATCTCGGTTCACTACAACCTCCGCTTCCCAGACTCAAGCAATTCTCCTACCTCAGCCTCCCAAGTAGTTGGGATTACAGGCACACACCACCACACCCGGCTAATTTTTTGTATTTTTGGTAGAGATGAGGTCCACCCACCTCAGCCTCCCAAAGTGCTGGGATTACAGGCATGAGTCACCATCCCTGGCCCCAAGTTCTTCATATAGCCTACTATTCTTGCCTTTATCAATTACTCGAAATCTTGAGATGACCACTTGCGCATTTGAAGCTGTTTATAGTTCTAAGATTTTTAAGTAACAGCATTCATGTCAACTGCATTGCTGGGGAGGGCTGTGCCCTTCAAAATGAGTGCAAAATGTCTGTCTCCAGATCCCTAAAAGAGGGCAATGACTTTTTCTATCAGTTAACAATGGTTTTTTTTTTTTTTTTCTTTAGCTTTCTTTCTGTTTCTGATGAGTGCTTCTGTTTCTGGCTACCTTGGGTTGGTAGATGAGTTTTTACTCCTTTTAATAGGAGGACTATTGGCCGTGCACAGTGGCTCACGCCTGTAATCCCAGCACTTTGGGAGACTGAGGTGGGTGGATCATGAGGTCAGAAGTTTGAGACCAGCCTGGACAACATGGCGAAACACCCTCTCTACTAAAAAT